CTTACTGACTAAAAACCACCCCGTTCCTTCTCCTGCACGTCGAGCCGGAGCCCCGGTTACCCGTTAGGTTCTCCGCGACTCCGAATCGGCAAAAAAAAAAAGAGACTTAGAAGAAGGTTTTAGTACCTATATTAATTAACCGACTTCGAAAAAGGGGAAGTTGGAGTCGTTTATTTTTAAACGTAAGTATTTTATGTAATATTTATAACACCATGGTGTTTTAATAAAGTACGTATTACTACCAATATATGCATTTTGTCAGAAGCAGATTGCATCTTTTTTTAAGGGGGGAAAATCATCGAATGATTTCTTCCTTCCTTCTCCTGCACGTCGAGCTGGAGCTCCGGCAACTCGTTAAGTTCTCCGCGACTCCGTATCGGTATCAGCCCTATTGGGCCTCATCTGTGGTGGCCTGAAGACTCTTTGAGGCGCGCGCGGAACGCGAAGCGTCGTACGCTCAGGTCTGGTTCTAGTCGGGCGGCGAGCCACCCATGCTCGCCGTCCGCAGGCCCGCGCTTACGGTGGCCGGAGATCGTCCCGCGATCCCCAACGCCTGGAGTGTCCTTCGTGACGCCAGAGCCATCAGACCACCACGGATGGGGCTCAGTAGGGCTAATGCCCGATATGGTGCCGCGGAAGGCCTAACGGGGAGCCGGAGCTCGAAGAGCAGGAGTAGAAACAGGGTGGTACTTAGTCAGTAAGAGTCTGACACTCTCTTTCGCCTAACCCTGCTAACCTAAGGCGGGAGAAGAGCAAAACAAAGATAGGGATTCATGTTACTGTAACGCGCTGGACTTCAGTGTTCCGGTGTTTTCATGGATCATGGTCATGGTGAAAAAGCGGAGTATCCGAGTAGGATATGATTATCAGCATTCACTACCGTTTTCTTTGTGCCTTTAGGCTTAATTCATTCTGTCTCCTGCAGTAATTCACCGAGGGAAGTGGAAACCATAGTTTTTTTTCTTCTTTTCCTCTAATAATATCTTCTGATTCACTTCGTTGCGGGAACCAAGACAGTTACTCATGTCCCTGGAACGCGCCGGACTTCAGTGTTCTGGTGTTTTCATGGTTGTATCTACTGTAGATCCTGGCTTACAGGAGTTGCAGCGGTTTTGGCAGGTTGTGGCGATAAAAAATTACACCACTGCTTTTTCCGCGGGTGACGTCATGGTGACGCAAAATAGATGACGCAAAAATATATTACTCACAAAAGATGTCTGATAACCTAGCTACGATCTCGAACTCGTGTGTCAAATCAAGCGTGCTATTCATGGCTAATTTCTAATGTAGCGTTGAGTTCGGTGTATGAGGATAGGCTATTGGGTAATACCAACATGAGGACAAATTCAAGTTGCCTAACTCCACATAATACGGTAGATGCCTAATTTTTATTTTCATGTTCGTCTGATAGTTAACTAGATTATTTTAAATCATTAGACACGTATTTTTTATTTTCTTACAGAAACAAATACTTTCGATGATATATTGATTTAAAATGTCGCGTGACGTCACTTCTATGTACATTTTATACGTAGAAATGACGTTTTAGCCCCCACTCCTAAACGTTGATTCGTTTTATATAACTTATATAAGTATTGTTTTATTATAGGACAAAATAAAAAAATACGTGTCTAATATTTTTTCATTACCTAACTTACGGACTAATTATATTTTCATACCTTAACATCAACCCAATTATCCCGAAAGTTAAAGTAGGTATCTACTTCGTAAGTAGGTAAGTATGTATTGTAATCTAAGAACTCGTATTGTGTGTCATCTGAACTTTTATAAAAACATGTTTCTTGTAATAATACCTATCGAAATATTATATCACAATCACAATATTCAGTGAGTCGACAGCTAGCAGCGAGCTAGCGAGTCCGACAAAATAATTCTATTCACAAAAATACTTAGTAATATTTTCCCGCGCAATATCGTTGCGTTAAACGTCAAAATATTTTTTTTATTTTTTTTCGATCCTCATTATACTGATATTCTCGTTAACATCAAGAATGTTAGTTTTTGTTTTATTTATTTTGTTTTGTGAATGTGCATTTGGACATGATACCGCGGTTGAAGTCGATACTTTGGACGGAGTAGTGCGTGGGTACAAAGAGGGAAATATCAACTACTTCCGTGGTATTCCTTACGCTCAAGTTGACGAAAACAATCCGTTTGCGGTAAGTCATTCATTTAGTAAACATTAAGTTTTCGCAAATGTCAGAATAGTTAGACATAATATAACATAACATCACGCCTTTTTTATCCTCGAAGGGGTAGGCAGAGGTGCACATTTCGGCACTTAACCACTGTACAATGTAACACCCACTTTTCACTATATATGTTATGAGTCCCATGTAATAGGGAGTGAGGCTATTGCCATATACCGGGCACATTTCGACTCCGTGCTACTACTGAGATTTTTAAAAACTCAGTAATACGTTGCCCGACCCGGGAATCGAATCCGAGACCCTTTGCCCGGCAGTTGCACATGCGACCACTCGGCCAACGAGGCAGTCAGAGTAGTTAGAGTACAAACTATGCATCCTGTTCACAAAGTAGGTATTGTGGTTTCTATCCCCGCACGAAATAATCCATAGATATAATAAAGAAGTTTTTAATATTTCTGTGTCCATAAATTATTCTCCGAGATGTATGTATGATGTACGTCGACCAGTCAAACTTGTGTTTGTAAACGTTACACACCAGATAAGTACATTACATAACTAAGTAGTACTAGCATGAGACAGCGTTATAACCGTGCACTTCTACATATTGTGGTCGTGGTGAGGCTAAGACAGGACTTAATCTCTTAATATAAAGAAAATACATACTTAATACATTGTTTTATCAAGTTGCAGTAGCCTAGGCTAGCTGCCTATACCTGGTGCTGAATAAAGGTTGTTTCTTTCTTTCCTATTTATGTCATTCAAGACTACAATTATATCTCCGAACCAAATTCTATTCAGAATGTCGTGTGAAAAGGTAACAAATTACTCTCACACAGTTTCCTTCGCTGCTCGTTTCCTATTGATGGTGGCGTGATATTTTATAGCCTATATCCTTCCTTGATAAATGCACTATCCAACACAAAAAGAATTATCCAAATTGGACTGGTTCTGGAGATGAATGCGTTCAAAGAAACAAAGTCTTCAGCTTTATAAATTTGCGTTTTATAATATTTAGTAGGATAGTATATTACAAGAAACTTTGTCAATTTAACTATAGTAGGTACCTTGACCTCAACGTTAAAATAATAGAGTTGTACAATCATAGCGCAGATGTAATGAAACATTGATAACCTGTGCCCCCTTCGATCCAATCTGTCTGTTGTAAATATTTTGATTTAATATCAACAACAATGAATCTTGAAAAGATAAAAAGTATTTATTGTTGCTGTGAACATCAGTAATAACTGTGGACAGTCTCTACGAGGGTATTTTTAAATTCTACGTAAGAGAGTTAGCCATAAATAATCAGTAATGTACAAAATACCCAATACAAAGTATCTGAAATACAAAATGTAAGATAAGTACTTTAAAATTAAGCATTTCAGATACCGGATACAAAATACTATTGACATTGGTATTTAAAATACTTTTTAAAGAGTAAATGCTTGTCTAGGAAAACAACACCTTAATGAATTGAAATTTCCTTATTTTAAAGGAGAGTGCTCACGAAGTATGAAAAAAAAACCTAGGCTTGGCACAAATGAAACTTATCTTAGATTTTAGTGTGATCTTAATAAATACTACATCAGGAGCATCATCGAAATCGATGGCTAAATGCAAGAATTTGCTGTGTTTGTGGCTAATTTCTTTTCTTTTGCGACAATGTTGGGTTTTGAAGAGCATTGACCTTTAGCAGCTTAGAATCTCATCACATTTTATTTTTATTGATGAAAAGAATTCTAAAAGTATCTTATCCGAAAAAGTATTTTTCAAATACTAAGATACAGAACGCATGTATTTAAATAGAAGATATATAATGGAATGTTAAAAAAGGATTTCAAATACAAGATCGAAATATGTATTTTGTATCTTGTATCATGTGTGTATTTCAGATACTTGTACCTTAAATAATTCATTGTACAGTGTCATAATAATTCATAATATAACATCAACATCACGCCTTTTACCCCCGAAGGCGTAGGCAGAGGTGCACATTTTGCCGCTGTACAATGTAAACACCCACTTTCCACTATTTATTTCATGAGTAAATAGATGTAATAGGGGGTGAGTCTATTGCTATATACCGGACACAATTCCAGAATCCGTGCTACTACTAAGATTTTTTTAAAACCCAGTAATACTTTGCCCGTCCCGGGAGTCGAACCCGAGACCCCTTGCCCGGCAGTAGCACTTGCGACCACTCGGCCAACGAGACAGTCATATTGATTGTGCAGCAGTGACTCATTATACCACATTATAGAGGTACAAACAAAAATAAAAGTATTTTTCTTGAGTAGTTGCGTCACTATCGAGAATATGAGTAATATATTACAACATATCGTGTTTGTACCACGTATGACTTTTGGATCTAATCTTTACATATAACTAACTAATTCTTTGTTTACTGCCTCGTTGGTCGAGCGGTCGCATAAGGGTAGATGCCTAATTTTTATTTTAATGTCCGTCTGGTAGAATATTTTAAATGATTAGAATACTGTCGACGATATATTAATTTGAAATGGCGCGTGACGTCACTTCTATGAACATTTAATACGCAGAAATGACGTTTTAGCCCCCACTCCTAAACTTTGATTTGTTTTATCTAAATATTATTTTATTATACGACAAAATAAAAAAATACATGTCTTGTGTTTTTTCATTACCTAACTGACGGACTAAATAGATTTTTAATTTTTATACTCCTTCATCATCCCAATTGCGACGCCGGGTAAAGAGCCTCGGGTTCGATTCCTGGATCGGGCAAACTGCTACTGGGATTAAAAAAAAATCTCAGTAGTAGCGAGGAGCCTAGAATTGTGCCCGGTATATGGCAATAGGCTCACCCCCTATTACATGGGACTCATAAAATTAATAGTGAAAATTGGTTGTTACATTATGTAGTGGCATTAATGTGCACCTCTGCCTACCCCTTCGGAGATAACAGGCGTGATGATATGTCTTTGTTTACTGCTACAGAAGACAGACTTTTCGACAAACAAGTCGGATCACCTGATGGCAAGCAATCGGTAAAGCCAATGGTCCATGTAGGTACACAACACTAGAATAAATGCTGACTGCGTTGCCGGTCTTTTGGGGATTGACAATTATTTATTTTAAGATTAAATTGGACGTGAATAAATTGGGTGAAGGATTGTGACTCTGGAAATCTTACTCACACTCACACGAAAAATATAACGCTAGTGTTATTTTACACTGGATTTGTGTGTGTCTATTATACACCAACTTTATTTTCAGGACGCCCATCCTTACCCGCACTTCGACGAACCGTTCGTTGCATACGACGACTCAGTAATATGTCCTCAATACTCAGGTGGAATAAAAGGCAGCATCCAGTGCTTACGAGTCAACGTATACACGCCACATGATGCCCACCCTGGACAACCACTACCCGTCATGGTATTCTTACACGGAGGAGGATTTTATGAAGGCAGTGGATCAAGTAAAGATTGGACTCCAGACTTCCTTGTCAAACGCAATATAATCCTAGTCACTGTGAATTACAGACTGGGCCCATACGGCAACCTCTGCATACCAAACACTAAGTACAATAACCAAGGACTAAAAGACCAGGTGCTAGCTCTAAAATGGGTCAAACGAAACATTGGAAAATTCGCCGGTGATCCCAATAATATAGTCTTGTTCGGTCACAGCGCCGGCTCTATATCTGCCGATTTACACTTATTGTATAACAACGAGGATTTGTTTAATAAAGTTATATTACAAAGCGGACAAGCTGTGACTACGCTCATAAATGACGGTACGCCCTATAAAACGTATGCCAAAGACATCGGTATGTCTGACGAGAATATCGATGTAGACCGTTTCATTCAAAAATTGTCGTCTATAAACGTGGACACGTATATAAATAATACAAAACATTATAATTTCCGTCCCTGCATCGACGGAAACTTTATAACAAGTGTACCACCAAGGAAAAACAAACAAAATATAAAAATAATGGTCGGCGCCACAGATAAAGAAATGCTATTCTTATATAGGGATGTGACATCGTTTAAAAGTTTTGATTTTATAACGGAACTGGACAGAGCTTTTACCGAATCAGTGGTAAATGAAAAAAATATTGATATGATTAAAGAAAACTATGATATAAAACAAAAAAACGAGGATAAATTAAAGGATTTGACGATAGATTTTGGTTCAGATTTGTCGTTTAATTACCCAACGGAGAGGAGCATTAGATATTACTTACAGAATAATGCCACAGTGTATAGATACGTTTTCAAATACGATGGTGATAGAAACTTCGTGAAGAAACGCGAACACATCACGTGGCCGGGCGCTACACATGGGGACGAGTTGGGATATCTATTCGACATCATGTCTTCTAACAAAATCACTGATTTACATGTCGTCGACTGGATCTGTCTGTTGTGGACGAATTTTGCTAAATATGGGTATGTATCTAAAAATCCTTCCTTGAATTAGGTATCTATGGTGTAGAATGGTAGATTGTAAATGGCTTCTCCCGCTCGGGTGAGGCGAGAGGGAGCGTCAGACTCTTACTGACTAAAAACTACCCCGTTCCTACTCCTGCACTTCAAGCTGGAGCCCCGGTAACCCGTTGAGTCCTCCGCGGCTCCGCGTTAGGTGTCAGCCCTAAATTGGGCCCCATCTGTGGTGGTCTGACGGGTCTTTGAGGCGCGTGGAACGCGACGCGCCGTACGCTTGGGTCTGGTTCTGGTCGGGTGGTGAGCTACCCGAGCTCATCGTCAGCAGGCCCGTGAGATCGTGGTGGAAACATAAACACCCATATTTCAGCAGTTATTTTATAATTCTCATGAACTTAATAGGAGGCGAGCCTATTGCCAGATACTGGGCGGCTCCATAATCCGTGTCACAACGGAGAACTTTTTAATGCAGACGAGCTTGGTAATGGTTTGGTACCAGTAACCATACCTACAACCGCCCAACCGATGCGGTAACACAAGGACCTATGTAGAATAATATTATCAGACAATTGAGTTGGAAAAACCCTTTAATTTAATTAATATTTTTCCCATTGATGGTTTTGCCAGTTATGGTGTAATCACGTCGGAGTCACCACTTTGCCGGTTATGGTGTGTGTGTTCGTCATCAGAAGGGTCGGTAAATAATATGCGTGTTCTTTGTTCGAGGTTTATTGAACGACTGAAAATAGAGTATAGTAATATGCGACTCACTGACTCCAATGAACTTAAACAGTAACTTAACCTAATGTGCCTAAGACTAACTTAGACTATTGTGCCTACACGCTACAATGGAACCATTCGTTTATAAATAAAGATACTTAAAGATAAAGATAATAGGTCAAATAGGACAAAATTTCTTTGCCTACCCCTTTTGTGAGACAGGCGTGTAGTTATCTATGTACCAATACATTACGCTACGACCAATACTACATAGCCGAATTCTGTATTATAACCATTCTATTATCTCACACTTCCAGCAACCCGACGCCGCCACCAACTTCACACGAGCTGCCGATCACATGGCCTCCACTCACTGCCACTACAGACAACTACCTGCAGATAGACAAACACCTATCCATTGTGAACGGACCTTACAAAGCCAGGATGGCATTCTGGGACTCTTTCTATCAACAACACGGACAATATGCTAAAGGAATCAGTTTGGCGTAGCAATGGTGTATTATATAGTGTAATATAAATATCTTCTTCTTCCTAGTCGATTCCCTCACTGCTAAGGATCGTGACTACCTCTGATTTTGCTCACTAGATGTCGCCACTTATCTCTTTCATGGGTATCTCCAACTCCTTGGATATTTGGTTAGACCACCGTGTGGGACTCCGGCCTCTCGGTCTCTTTTCTTCTACTTTAGGGATTGGACTATTTCTACTTAATGTATATTTTCTGTAATTGTAATTTGTAATCTGTAATAAGTGTGTGAGAGCCATGCTTCAACACGAATGGGCCGGCTCGACCGGAGTGATACCACGGCCTCACTGAAAACCAACGTGAAGCTACGCTTGCTTACAGTATTGGAACATGTATCAGAGACATTGTAGAACATACTTTATTGAAAAGAGTAACGAATGGAGTTTCTTGCTCGTTCTTCTCCATTCAAATCTACATTTTGGCATGAGCACCTAGATTCACCTAATTTCACTGACGGACTGACTGACAGACTATTATTTATTTTGTATTTGTTGACGTTTCAAAAGTACCAAACTATGGTTTAATTGAAAAATAATAAAAAATAAATGCTTTGACTTCCCCAAACTCCCCAATTCCTGAATCCCAAACGACCCTCAAATTCCTAATCCCCAAAAGGCCGGTAACGCACTTGTAACGTCTCTGGTGTTCCAGGTGTCCATGGACTGGACTATATCTACTTGCTTAATGTATATTTTCTGTAATTAAAATATATCGCAAACCTATTCTAGAACTGATATTTTTTGCTAATGGTGCATTAGTTACTGTGCAACATTTATGTGTGACACTAGAAAAAAGACCTTAATAAATAAAGATAAAAAAAACATGCTTGTTCGCTATATTTTGCTACTCTATATTGTATAATTAACTTTTTTTATTTAGCTCTTCGTAAAAGTTCACGTAATCCCCAAGCGGTCTCCGGTGATCGCTCTCTATTGACTACATTATAGACCTTAATTCCGATGTTTGAAACTACTTTTGTATGAACTTTTAAGGATTTTCGATAAAATATATCAGGTAGACCTTTGCTCAAATCATCTAAAAGAATGCTTTTGATCGTCTTCTTTTTGACCGTCAGTCTCATCTAATATATATAAGTATGTAAAAGGAAACCGACTCCAATAAAGGAGGTTCTCAATTTGTATGTTTGTGCGCAATTATCTCGCGATTGTCTGGACTGATGTTGGTGCGGTTTACAGAAAAGTGTTTGTTACACTTACGAAAAGGTTTTACTATATTGTTTAACTAATTAAAAAAAAAAGGAAGTTGAAGTCAGTTTTTTTAAACGTAATTTAAAAGAACTAAGTATCTTAGACGAGTTTTCGGTCCGAAAATACCATTGTAAAAAGATTTTTCCTGTTTTATATTTGTGTAGAGCAGAAACTTTCATGTAAAATCGCAGACCAAATACCTACTCAAACACCACTCAAAAGTCGCACGTCTAGTTCTTTTACTACAAATACTTTGTAAAATGAGAAAATTGAGTAAGTAAGTAGCCTCAATTTTAATTTGTCCGAAAATACCGTGCCTAGAGAATTCGGGCGTACAGATATATTTTTTTTATGTAAGACGGGACTGACTTTAGACCACTATCTCACTATCTATAAATTTAATGTGTGATGCTACATCAATCAATAAAAAATAATCTTCTCACAATCCTTTTTAATTTTTATTTATCATAGTAGACGTAGTTCAGATGGAAACACATATAAGACGCGTACAAAGCACCAATTATGTTTGCACAGTAAAGTAATAGGCCCATTGAAAAGAACTCTTGCAAAGTAGTTTTTTATAAAAAAAAATCGTTATTTTATGTTGTTCATTTTGTCATAATATGATGTCCTTTGCCTAGCAACCTCGCTCGCACAGCATGACAAATAAGTGACTCTTGAGTTTACTCTGTGGGCGCCAAACGCCAGTACTAATTTACTTGTTTATGAAAATTTAAAGGAAATAAAAATTTCAATTGATAGTTTAATCTCATTGTGTATCTAAGTAGAAACGATTGCATTATACATAGACATTTTTTATTAATTATTGATTTAATAAGATTCAGAAAGTAAGCAAACACTTTTTACTATGGTAAAAAAGCTTACACGGATTATATTGACATCTGTCAATTTTGTTGTAGCATCAAATTGCTGTCATACTCATACAGAGGACAGAGACGCTAAAGTACTTTGTCGTAAATAAAAAACAATCGATTAAAATGAATTTTTAAATAAATCATGTATTTAAACCCTATGGGGCGCTATATAATATATCTAGAAGCTGTATAAAATATAAATATGGGTGAATTATGCACGGCTTGTTTGTGCGCTGGACGAAATCTATTCTGTATCGGCGATACTGGATTCTATCACTTATATTCACAAATTTTAAATGAAATCCAGGTAAGTTAATGTATATTTTCATTGAGAAATGTTACATAAGATATCCTTTATTGTATTTAGCTTTTAAAGTGCTGAAAAACGTGCCTAATAGAGAGTAGCATAAAGTTAGCGAAAAACGACTAAAGGCGATAATAAGTTTAATTGTCAGCCTCGAATTTATTAATACTTGTATTAAATTGCAGTCAGAGTCATATGTTCTTAGTACTCATAAAATTGTTAATATCCAATATTAAAATAAAAAAAATATTTTATTCACTATGATTTTCAGATTCAAATTATATTGCTAATAAAATAAAAGGTATTAACCTAAAATAAAAATAACTTAATATAATCACATAAAATTAGACAGAGACCGGACAGCAGCACTAATAAACCTGAACCTTTTATACTGCGATCTCCAACCTGCCTACCTGCGGAGATTATGACAAACCCTCTTACGTAAAGGCTCAATAGTCCAGCAATAGCAGCAGATAGTAATCACTACATAGTATAAAACAAAGTCGCTATCCACCATCTGTCTGTCCCTATGAATGCTTAGATCTTTAAGACTATGCAATGGATTTTGATGCAGTTTTTTTAATAGATCGAGTGATCCTTTAGGAAGGTTCATATGTATAATACAGTAGAAAAACACTGATAAATATAGAGGTTTCTAATTGCACCGGTGCGAAGCCAGGGCGGGTCGCTAGTGATTAATATAATTCTGTTCTGGTCTCCAGGTGTATGATGCATCGTCATTCTACCTGAAGGTATGCTGGGAGTGCGTGGCTCGGCTCCGACGATGGCACCACTTCAAGGAGAAAGCCAAACACTCATACACACAATTACATTATGTGCATCAGGTAAGTTGAATAGTTTCTGAAATTTTTGTACATCTTACCTCTAAGGGGAGAAAATGTTTGTCTCGGAGAATCTAACGGGTTACCGGGGCTCCGGCTCGACGTGCAGGAGAAGGAACGGGGTGGTTTTTAGTCAGTAACAGTCTGACACTCCCTCCCGCCTCACCCAGGCGGGAGCAGCCATTCGATAATTTTGCCCCCTTAACCCGTTGAAATCCACCCCCTAATTTTGGTCATACTAAAGTAGTCTCTAAACATTACAAATAAGGTCTATAATGTAATGTAATATTAGTGGAAAGCGGTCACCGGTGACTGCTTGGTGATTTATGGGTTAAAAAAAAGAAAAAAAAAGTGGTAAGTGGTAAGTGGTGGTAACCAGGCGAGATAGTGGACAAACGTCGGTCATCTAATATTAAAAAAATTAATATATACCTTGTTTTGTGCAGCGTGGAAAACGCCATTGGTTACACATTTGTTCGAACTCCCTATATATTGTGTCATACTCATCAAAATGTATCATGTAATGTGTCACTGATTGATTTCCCAAATAAATTAAAAAAAAAAAATCCACTGAGATAGGTCACCTTTATAGGTACAGCCTACTTAGGCCACGCTCGGAGTAGGTATTGGAATGAAGTGGTTTTTTAATTATTATGGAAACTGTTAACGAGGAACTCGACTAGTTTCAAGCCATGCTAGAGGCTCGTATTCATGAGTAGTGTTCCGCGACCCGCGACGCGGCGACTGTCGCTGCTACTGTTGTGGCAGTCCTCTGTCGTGATTCTTAGTGTTTTTATTCAGTAAATGGAGAGTCCCGACTGGCCTCACAGGACGTGAAACAACGCTTGCGTTGTGTTTCGTCGTGTAAATGAGGTTACCCGAGGCCCAATTACCCTCCCTCCCCAGTCTCCTTAATCCCCGAATCCCTAACCAATCCTCAAAATGCCAGTAACGCGCTTGTAACGCCTCTGGTGTTCCAGGTGTCCATGGCCGACGCCGATTGCTTACCATCAGGTGATCCGTCTGCTGGTTTACCGACCTATACCATAAAAAACATACACAAAAACACACAAATTTTTGTAATATTAATAACTAGAATAAAACCATTTTCTTTCCCAGAATAACTTCATTCAACCGTCTCCAATCCCCTCAACTCTTCAAACGAGTGAAACATACAGCTTCAGTTGTCCAGAACTGGTGATAAAAGCTGAAGCAGACGAGGGACTGAGTCTCACAGGACCGGATATAAAGACTGAGGAGCCTCATTGCGAGCCTGAGACATTTGTTAATAACTTAGAACCTCGAAGACGGAAAGGCGTTAAGAAGGATAGTAAGGTTAGTACATACATATCTACATATATCATCACGCCTGTCTCCCATTGGGGTACGCACAGACAATAGAACGCCAAATGACAGGATTCTGACATACTGGAGTGTAGGAGAGCCATGCTTCGGCACGAATGGGTCGGTTCGACCGGAGTGATACCACGGCCGAGCAGAAAACCGACGTGAAGCAACGCTTGTGTTGTGTTTCTTCGTGTGAGTGAGGTTACCGATAGTCCTATCCCTACTCAAAACAGTGATTCGGTTTTTCAAAATTGAAATAACTCTACCATTAAACATGATTCGTTTTATATATTTTTATTTTTATAATCATAATTGTTCTCTCTGCAGCCAATTAAAGACAAAATCAAAACAAAGAAGAAAATAAAACCCAAACCAGAAGTACCGCCCAAAAAGAAGGTAAAATTAAAAAAGAAAAGGTCACCGACCCCGCTATCTATAGAGGATGACGCAGTAGACTCGACACATCTTCTAGAAGATGATTTAGAAGATGAAGGAGATGTACAGACGACTGAGGATGGAGAGAAACAAGTTCCTTTTGTTGAAGAGGTAATTCATTATTCTCTTTTAATCGACTGCCTCATTGGCAAGGGGTCTCGGGTTCGATTCCCAAGTCAGGCAAAGTATTACTAAGTTTTTAAAAATTCTCAGTAGTAGCACGGAGTCTGAAATGTCTGTGCCCGGTATTGACATAGCTCCCCTATTACACGGGACTCGTAACATAAATAGTGAAAAGTAAGTGTTACATTGCATTAAGGGCCGTAATGTACACCTCTGCCTACCCCATATTATATATTCTTCTTACTAGCTTTGATTTAATTTGCAATGTATA